GAGTCTTTTTTACCAATAGAGCTATCAAGAAACTTTCAATAGTTTATTATTCCACCAGAAACTGCTAGTGTAGGCTTATTTAAAAGGCGTCCATTTCAATGAAGTTTCAGCTGGAAATCAGGAAGAAAGGAAAAAAAGAAAGGGACTGTTTTGTAATGCGAACAACTGTGCTTTACACTTCTCATAATACAGAAAAATTCAACTTCAACTCAAGGAGCATTTTAATTCCATTTGAGAAAACTATTTAGATATGATTTTCAAAATACAGAAAGTTAAAATATTTTGATCAAGCTGGGCCTGTTAACTCAAATGTTATTTTATGGGATTATCAAGAGGGGTATTATTTTTGACTTTTCAATTTTTCCTTTATATTAGGGCAAAATATATAAAAAGACCTGTTTTTCTGTTTTCCTCTTTGTAGGTCGTATACTTGACTCTGTTGCTACTCAGAGTTTTCTCACATATATTTGAGGCATTTATTTTTCTGTTCTCAGTATCATGAGATGTACTTGATTCTTGCCTTGTTTCAAAGCTGCCTATATTTTTCCCAATAGCAGCAGCAAAATCAACATTCTGCTGAGCATTTGCTCTTCTATATCTTGAAAGAGGTATGAGCTGGCATGGAGTAACTGGAGCTGTCTCAAAAGTGAGAAAGCTGACACTGCACCACTTTGCACTGTGGTTCATGTTCGGAAGGCTGGGGCTTGTGGTTGGGTTGGTTTTTTTTTCCTTTCCATGAGAAAAAAAACTAAAGTGTTTCAAAAATACGCTTGCCAAATGAAAGTTTAGATGGTGCTGGAGACTCTGGCATGCAAGTTTCAGCCTCTGCCCAAAGTCCGAGCTTCCTTCCCTTTTCTGTCTCTTTAGTAACATGAGCTGCAAATCAAAGAATAGCAGTTCTGTAACAACTGGGTCAGTGTATATAGAAAGACTTTCAGTGATGTTTATTTATTCAGTCTCTTACTGCAAGATTATTCCCATTATGTGGCTACTATGCATTCCCATCCAATTCATTCAATTTAAATAAAAACTTCCTGCTTACACTTAGGTACATATCAGTGACAGTCATCTAAATAAAATATCCCAGGCATTTCAGTCTCGGGAACAGTCTTACGAAGAGGCAGATCATATTGTATTTATTTGGAAATGGGATGCATGTTGACATAGGGCTTATTTCAAAATAATGTCAAAATGTTAAAATCTTTATGAGATCTTAACATTAAATTTTATGAAGACAGAGATGTTTGCTGGGATGTGATGCCGGGGGCTAGGACCAAAATCAACTGCTGAAGATTAAAAAAACACTACCACAGCGGGGAAGGGGGTGCAACCACAAACTCAGGGTAATCAGACCTGTGTTTTTTTATCATTTTTATTTTTATTGCTTGATGTTAGTTATATAATGTGATTTATATACAGTGCTTCTGAGTGCTGTATTAAATTGATAGCTCTTGCTGGGTGAACACACAAGTACTATCTTTCTTTTCTCTAAATGTGCTGAATTTTGTCTTAGAGAAGCCTGGCAAGCCTTTCCTCCCAGTAAGAGGTCTGGAGAAAGTAAGTGTAGATAAAACCAGCTTGGTTAATCATCACTGAAACACAGGAAAAATTAAAATACATTTTTTGCTTGTAAAGTAGAGAAAGGCAATAAAAACAATGCCAGACGGTTAATGCCTCTCTTGTACCTTTCATTTCAAAGACCTCAAAAGAACATCAAGAAGAATAAAGGCAAAATCTATTCCCTATTGGCATCATTATAAATGTTGTATCCTCTAAAACTCTAAAGACATCCAAGAAGAGTAGAAGAATAAATGGCATTGAAATAAAGAAAGTCTCTCTGGAGCTTTGTTCAATCGCCTTTGTTAGAATTCACTCAAATAGGATGATTATAAGAAAAGATCTCATTTGTTTCAACATTAAAGGAGCAAATTAATATGTGGCGAGCTGCTAATAATTGCCTCATTATGTAGTGAATGGGCATTGCGTCCAATTTGCAGAATTACAATCATATTGTTAAAGTAACAATTGGGAAAGTTTAATCTGAATTTCCTAACTCTCTGTATGATTAGTTGTGGGATTCCCAGAGTGAAGCAGAGTTGGAAGTTGGAGTGAGCTCTCCAGTGCACCACCAGCCTACAGTGCTAAGAAGTTGCAAGAGAAATTCAGCTTTTCATCAGCGTAAATTACATCTGCGTAGGTCCTGGGGTAGATTTGGTCCAACTGAAGAGTGAATCTGGCAGTCTCTGTTAAGACGGGAGCTTGGCACGTGACTGGTCTGTCTGTGTTGGATTCCACTAATTTGTGCTGAAGTTTTGGCCGAGAGGTTGAGACCTGTCCTGAGCTCATCCCTGCTTGGGACTTGAGCAGACCTACAGGTCCATGTCTGGGAAACTTGGTGATCCAGGATCTGTGCCGTTGGGAAACCCACCCATACAAATGGTCCTGCAGCTGGAATTTCAGTCTCTTGGAGGAGACATCTGAAATGATGAGGGAGTTGTTTCACATTGGAAAGTAGCCAATTTTCCAAATATTGAAATACTCTGTGGAAGAGAATCATGTTTTGTGACCTACTTCTAGTTAGATTTGCTTGTGACCTTTTCTAATTCTGGCTGTTTTTGTTATTTAATGATTTGACCTTTGATTCTGTGAAGCCACTTCAGTGCTAAATGTAAAGATTTAATAACTAGAACTGTTTGATAAGTGACCTTTATTACACAGCTATTTCTCTTTGCTAGAGAAACGGCACTGTTTTGCAAGTTCTAATTCACCATTTTAATTATCTTTTCTATTGTCTGTAAGCTTGCACAGGAAATGGAAAGGTCAGACATTTCATTTTCTTTACTGATTAAAATATAAGTGCTCCTCAACAGTTACAATGTATCATTCAGGAAAAAGATGGGACAATTTGTCAGAATCATGCCCAGCTGCTCTGCTGAGGACTTCTACATCCTTCTGGTCAGCGACAAAATGAGTAATTTTCTAGAAGCGATAATAGCACAGCCCCTGTGGTGTGTAGAGGTGAAATATGTGTCTAAATACATGAAAAGAGAAGAAAAGGAGAACGATTCCCTCTGTTTTTTTCTTTAGCTCATGTAACTAAAATGCAAGTGAATGAAGATCTTGCGAAAGGCACAGGTAAACCATTAACTGATGCTCTCGGTCCAGAGAGCATAACCAGTAACAGCATAGGTTTCTGTATGGTCCTGCCAATCTGCATCAACCCCACTGCTGCTCAACCAGCTCTACTGATGAGAGGGCAGCCTGGACTGCCTGCTAGAACCATTTTTGGTTTCTCTGATAGGGCTGCTGGTGAGTTAGTGTTTAATTGCTGTCCTGGTGTTTGTGATGTGGACACCTGTAAACAGTTACTGTTAACTGCAGAATGATCACTAAGAAGGCACATTTCCTCTAATTCATCTCTCTCTGTTCCGGTTTCTGCGTGTAAGAATTGTCTGTTCATCCATAATACAAACTATATAGCAAGGTAAATGGAAAAGTGATAGTTTCTCACACAGGTTAGGGCTATTGTGGGCCACCTTGCAGCCAAAAATCTGTATATGGCAAAAGGGCGTGAGGGATGTAGGACCCCAGAGTATGGGGTGAGGGGGACAATAGCACATCAGCTCCTCAAGGGTCATAGGGGGCTGTCAGCTGTGTCCTAGTTCAGTAGCAGAAGTAGCAGCCACAACTACCCAGGTGCTTCCCAGTTCTGGCCCCTCGGGTACCAAAATCCCCATGCCTGAATAGCTCCTGTGGCAGCCACCTGGCAGAGGAGCTACGTCTGAGCAGCTTTTGAGTCTTAACATGATGGGACAGCCATAGCTGAGCTAGGCTGCAATAACAAACAGGAATGTCATGTTAAACGAGGAAAATGAGAAAGCTGTTGTACGTGGATAACTGAAACTGTCCCTTCTGTCTGTGGCACTTATAAACCAACACCGCAAGCTGCCGGCCTGTCTCCATATGGGGGTTCAGTGAATGAATATTGATGGGTGTTTCCTCATATGTTGAGGAAGATACGATGCAGAAAGATACTGAAGTCAGTGGATGATTCTGGAGTTAGTGGAATGTCTGTCATGGGTGTCAGTCTCCTAACGCTCTCTGGGATCTCTGTTGGGAAATATGCATATTAGGACGTGTAAAATTTCTCTACATTGTAAAAAACATTTATTCTGACATAGGGTTGGGAGGGGTTAAGCCTCTGCCTCTATTGAAGAAGAGCAGATTATACGTTGACCTAGTGCAGGCATTCAATATTATGAAAGTGCTTTATAAATTGGAACAAGATAAATGAATCACAACAAAAGAGCTAGAAAACCAGGGGACACAATTGCAGGAGTGAGTGTACTCAGTTTATTCGAGCAGAACAGTTACACTCAGTGAATAGAAAATGCGCAATACATTTCTAACTAAGGTCAGAAAATTCCAAATTTAAGAGAGCAGATCCATTTTAATGGAGAAGGAAGAATATTGTGGAAAAACAAAAAAGAACCACCGGTGTTGAGACAAATTTAAATGGGGCCAGATTCTTGACCAAATTGGGTTTTCCTATCTAGAAGTTTCATATTCAGCATTTGTTAGTTTGAAAGTTCACCCTGAAAACTACAAATTAACCTGCTGGGACTTTAACAATTCACTTCGTGTTAGGATGTGAGTTATGCTTATGGATTTGTTTAGGTCACCCAGCCATGTCCTCATAATGTATCTTAGAGAGGATTTCTGTAACTAAGCGGTAAACAGAAAGACTGTTGTGTTCAGCTGCATCTCCTGGGATTTCATCCCTGCTGTCAGAGCTATGCAGGACAGCTCTCTAAACTACAGCAGCTATAAAAAAATACATGGTGTTCTGCAAAGGAAACATTGCCAATGTTTTTGCTTGCAGTCAAGCATCTTTAATTCCTGATGAAATGAGGAAAGGATGTTTTCATGAACCACTCGCGTAGAGAAATCAAACCAATCACAATAGAGGAATCAAACCTTTGCAGTTGTGAGATTTACTGCAGAAGCCTTGCAGGATGCACCTTAGTTCTGTACAATAGTTGTCACCCAAAGATGAGATATTTTAGCTGGTATAATTTGGCTCCCTTCAGGTGCTTATCTCTTGTCCTTATATTATGCACCATTATCAAAGAAATGTGATGCTTTGTCAGCCACCATGTCCTAAGGTTATAGTGGTCAAATGTAGCCAGGATATTCATCCACATCAGCCAAATGAGGTGTGATATTGAAGGGAAATAACTGCAAGTCTGATCAGAAAAGCATCTAACATCCTGTCAGGCTAAATGTCTGAAGAACATGAAGGGAATCATTCCTAACAAACACTAAGCTGAAGTCACTGGCTCCCAACTGGGAGCATGACAGAAGATCAAGTCTGTGACCATACAAGAAATTGGAGATGATCTGTGGCCTGGACCATCTTCTGGAGGTTTTTTTGATGGATCTAATTTTCATTTGATTTAGATTTCTAACCAATCTTTTCATACAATCCAACTTAAATACAGGGCATTTCCTTTTAGTCTGTTGGTACAAAAGAACCAAAAGACATTTGTTATTTATATTCTGATAAACGGAACATCAGATAGGTCCCCATATTTCTGTTAGACGAATAAAACTGTTCCTATTTACAACTCATACTGGAGAAATAATACCCTAGAACGTGCTCAGGAAATACTTTGACTTCAGTGTGCCTAGGATTAAGCTCCTAGTTCACATGTCACCAGTCTACCTGCCTCGCATTTTTCATGGGTCATAACCATTTTCTGGAGAGGACAATGTATTCCTCTGTCTACATTTCCTTTCCGACTGCAGGATTTTCACACTACTATATTGCTTTTTAGAGTTACATCTCATGTTTGACTTCTATCACATATTTGGGAACTATTCATTCAGACATATAAACACAGCCAGTGTACAGTTACATTTCCAGCATTACTTTTTCTGTACTTTTTTCCTATTGCTGACAACACCTTGTTAAAAGAGAAAAAGGCATTGATCTAAATATTGTTTCCTGCTGCTTCTTTCTTCCATTTTTTTTTGTAGTGGAAAGAGTAACATTTAGAGGGAAAAAAGGAATGATTATTTTTCTAGTTGACTTTGCAAGGTGGAGAACAAAGGAAAAGATTGGAACTGCCACCTATTTCACTAAAAAGGATTGCAGTCAGAGCTTTGTAGAGGTAGGGTTTTCTACCAGCTCTACCACATGGGGATTGTTAGGTGTTTTTTTTAAAGAGAAGCTTTGCTATCAATTTGTTGGGCTGCGACCATCTTTCCTTTAACTGAAATTTCAGTTGTCATGTTTTACAGAGAAAGAGTTGCCAATATTTTTGTTTTCTTTCTTCCAGCCTCTACAACTTGACTGTGACCTCTGTGCCATTGTTTCAAACTCGGGACAGATGGCTGGCCAGAAGGTGGGAGCCGAGATAGACAAGTCCTCCTGCATATGGAGGATGAACAATGCTCCCACAAAGGGCTATGAGGAGGATGTTGGGAAGAGGACAACCATAAGAGTGGTCTCTCACACAAGCGTGCCTCTCCTGCTCAAGAATCCCGAGTACTTTTTCAAGGAAACCAACACCACCATTTATGTGATCTGGGGACCTTTTCGAAACATGAGGAAGGATGGAAATGGCATTGTGTACAACATGCTGAAGAAAACTGTTGACAGCTACCCAACTGCCAAAATCTATGTGACAACAGAAAAGCGCATGAGTTACTGCGATGCAGTATTTAAGAAGGAGACAGGAAAAGACCGGTAAGTCCTAAATGTGAAGAACAATTATAATGTTTGATGAAAGATACATGAGAGAAGTCCATGCTGGATGCCAGCTACTAAATGAGTCCCCAGATATGTTTTTAATGGATTGTTATATGGTTTTGACTGTTATAAGCACTTGATGAGGCAGCAGCTAGGCCCCATTTACCCCACCTACGCTACCTTCTGTTCTTTCCATTTCTGTTGGCCCGAGTCCCAAAAACATTGGATGTCTTCCTGAAACGTTTTCAAAGCTGTGTGTTGTTTTCAGCTCAATTTACTATTGATTAAATTGACATTTTATTTGAAGAGGATAATCCTACACAAACAACATTTCCAAATGCACAACCTCAGGATAACTCTGGATATTGTATTTTCTTTTCTGTTGAGATTCAGTGTAGCTTTTCCTCAAACACAGACCTCAAGGTTATGCATTATTCCTGTTTCTTGGTGAAAATGGATTATCAGTGATACTGTAATAGATTTAGGCTTCTACCAGAATTATGCTGAAATTCTATTTTCCATGCCTGAGAATGTGTGTTTATGCTGCTCAAGTAACGACTGTAAGGAGATGAAAGTGTGAGGGCCACTGTTTTGGCTAGCATGTTCAGAGCAGAAATTGGATTTGTGGAATTAAGACCACAAATTACAGGAATTTGTAACTGAGCTGCAAAAATTCTGATCATCTGTGTTTTGGCATGGAAGAGCACCTGTCACGCATACTCACTGGAGCTAACTAGGAAGGAGTTTCCAGATCACTGCTGTGCCGTAGTATTAATTTTTGAATTTGGACATAATGAATTTGCAGTTATGAAGGACTATAGTTATTCTGACCAAATTAAAAATACAGATATTCACAAACAGTTTAACTTAGTCTGAACTTTTGACTTAGCTTTTGAAGTAGAAGAGCTGATTCTCTCAAACTTACTCGATTCACTTTGTTATTAAACTGCCAAACTTGGTTAGAGTTGATTTGCCCTTTTTTAAAAACTATTGAAACATAGGGAGGAACTTTCCCCTCAGCTTATTCACCATGTGCACATGTTGCTGCTGTGATTGTGGAGTTGGAGGGAGCTTCTATACGTGATAAAGGTGTCAAGGTTATCATGGCTGCTTTAGTTTATCTGAACAAGCTGATGAACAGAGGCTAGTAGAGAAAATACTCAAGATCTCTTCTTCAAAAATGCCCTCTAATAATCCAAGTAATCCTGTTTAGATACATTATTGCATTACTAAACATAAATTTGTTTCTATTTATGACTCTTTCATCTTAACAGTCAGTCAGGTCACAGTGACTTTACAATACTTTATCAAAACCCTTATTGTGAGACCAGACCTTAGTATATCCTATCAAAAAATCTCATCATCCAACGTCAAAGTATCCTCATCTCCAGCCTAATCCATTCCTCTTCAACAAATTAGCACGTCTCAAGGTTTTATCGTTACACAAATAACACAATACAAATGCTTCTTTCCATGTCAAAGGCAGATTGAATTTCTGTTCTCCCAGTGTTTATGAACAAAGTTCTTAAGCAGCCTAATGTCAAAGTGGCCCAATTTCTTACTCCTTAATCCATTACAAAGACTAAAAGTTTCACATTGTGAACAGGGGCAAATCGTAAAGAGCCTGCCTCGTGACCCACATCACATTGCATTTGCACAGGCCTCCCTTTCACACTGTGAAAAAAACCCCACCGCTTCTCACAGTGGCAATCGGATAACGTCCTTGTGTCTCCTGCAACTTTCATTTTCAGTCTTACTTTTCCACATCAAATACCAAGTGGTGTTTTTAACATCATTTAGTGCACTTGTCAAACAGAAACAAGGGAAGCAATTGATGTGTCACCAGCCAACACCTTCTGTATCACAAGAAAACATCCTGCAGTTCCCTACTAATCAGGGGACCTCAGTTTGGAAACTGTTTCATTTTCTGTAACATCTTCAATTCACAGGACGTGTCTGCTGTTCCTAGGGAGGGTCAGGAGGCTGTTAGAGGTATGTGGCATTTGTGGAAGCAGTAAAGAGAGCGCACAAGAGATTTGTGGGTGATGAAAATAGTTTCACGCGTTGTGCCAGACTATTATGATGCTGAGACAGACTCAGGTTCCTCAGCCAAATATTCTTTCAGTTCCTCAGAGAAACATCAACTCCTGCTTGCAATATTAGATTGAACAGAGGTCTGTTTCAACATGTTCCCAGCAAAAATTCTGGAAGGAAACCAAATTCAGCTCATATTTTAAAATGTACTGAGTGGATTGTAACCACATCTATTTTAGTTTTATCCTAAAATACTGTCCTTATGTACAGTGTATGCTACTAATATGTAGTAAGATTGCAACAGATTTCTAGTCTGTCAAGTCTTTAATGAGCTTTATATTTCTACTCTTTGATGTACCATCTTTTTAGGTAATTAGTGTGACTTTTCAGTAGTTTCATCCTAGTGGTGCTCAAGTTTTAAAAGATGTTATGAGAAGCAGCTAAGGTATGTGCTGCAGTCACTTCTCTACTGCAGAAAAGCTCTGGTCCTGCACCACTGACGTGAGAGCTTCACCCCTGACTTCACTGAGTGTGGCTTCAAAACCCACAGCTTTGGTATTGACACATGGTTTATTATTGGTTCACAGAAGAAACAAGAATTGCCTCTAAATAATGTCCAATAAACAAGTTTATTTACTTCACAATGAAGCATTTTTTAATTCTACAACAGTAAAAAATAGCCTCTGATATGGGCTATCCATGCTGGAGAATTAACCTTGCGTGTGTTGTTATGAATCTGGGGGACAGATGTTCTTTCTGAGAGTCTTCATTAGTGAAGTATTTGAGTTCAAGGCGGTGAATGCGCATCCACTTTGAATAATTGTTGTACATAAATAATATTCATTACCAGACATTCACAATTTTTCATTAATGCATTTTACTTGGTACTTCCCTAGAGGGAGCATAAAGCTGGCAGCTTCTTCCAGTACTTCACTAATGTTTTGGTGTATTATGTATATAGAGTCAAGTGAAAGGATTTAAAGAACCATTAGGTAATTACTAAATGTGGCATCTTTGTACGTACCTCAGTCTGGGTAAGTGGTTCTAAAGCCATCTGCATCTTTGCCATGGATTAGAAATATAATGTGATATGATATAACAACATTTAATTGGTAATAACAGAGAAAACTGTAGTCTTTATTAAAACAGCAGAGCTAATTCTGGTCTGATAAAGTGCACTGAACAGCCCTAAATAGGTTTTAATTAGCTGGCACCAAAGCTGCACCACCCTTAGGGGAGGGTAAAATTAATGAAAACTAGCAGCAAATAGATCAATGCTACTGGATGTTATTGCCTTAGGTGAAGGTGATGAGGAAAAAAGGAGTGTCTTTTAAGGATCATTTAGAAAACAGTCTGCGTTAAAAGTCACTTTCAAAAAGCAATGATAAAATAAATCTGTGCTAATATCAGCGAAACAGTTTAATGTCATCCAAACTGCAGATTCCATTTGTGTTTATAATACAGACCTCTCAGGCGAGCCACACAGCACAGTGTGTCCCAGTAGTGCCTCTGAAGGCACAGCTCCTTGTCCCCTCTGGGGGCTGACGGTGGGATCAGACTGCTTCTGTCCCACTGCGTGTGAAGGACGTTGAGCCACAGCACACAGCCAGCAATGCACATGCTGATACTGCCCAAAGCACAGCTTAACTTGGTGTTTCTAGTCACGCTTCTTATAAATAACTACTGAAAACAGCCTACTGAGCTTTGCTGAGGAGATATCTTCTGAGCTCCTGAAATTCCTGTTGAGAGACATGAGATAATGTTCTGAACCCATCTAGTTGGTAGCCAGTTGACTTTCCACACGCTCTGTCTTAACTCTGACAACACCCATCCCATACCCAAACATTTCAGTTCAATTCAACAACATTTATTGAGATTAGCTATCCAAGCGTGCCTACAGGAGGCAGGTTCACTGAGCCACATTTACAGCCAGGTGGCTATTTCTGAAGGTTTTTTGTTAATATCTTGGACAATTCCGAAGAAACTAAATTGCTTTTGTACTTCTCTTCCAGAAGTTCTGAGTTTCTTCTGTTCGTGCCAGATGGTGCTACGTGTTAGGTTGTGAGAAAGCTGTTTTATCACTTGAGGCAGAAAGATGGATCATTCTGATCACTGACTTCTTCATCAAGATTCAAAATTTGGGGGTGTGCTCAACCTGCTATTTTATTCACTTCTGCTCACTAATTATTTATTACTTTGGTGATATGCGAGATCTATATTATATCTCTGTCATTTAGAGCTAACAAATTATATTCATCTAAAGTTCGGATTGACACTGTTAGACAACTACAGTCATCACAGCTTCACCTCAGCTAATATGTGGCTTTTGATGTGTCTGACTAATCTACGTGAAGCTGTAGTCTAGTAAAAATGTCATTGAAATGAATAAATGAAATTACATTCTCTGAGGCCCAAGTAGCTGCAACTTCTCTTGTTGATACTCTCTGTGAACTGAGGTAGTAGAGCTGTCAGTGGCCAGAACATCAGAGTTTTTCACCGTATTTCTGGTTGTTGGCTGGAATGAAATATTATAGCAATGCTATTTCCACTTTTGCACTTGCTTACCTATTGACTATAAGTTTCCCTATCAAGGCTATTCAGAGAAAATATAAAATCTTAACTAGTGTTAGGTAATATTTACAGAAAGCAGGTTTTTCACCGGGAAGTTGTGAGCACTGGCACTAAATCTGACTTAGAGAGTTAGATTTTGGGACTTGGGAAGTAATTCCCATCTGTGCTTTGTACTCACATACTTTTGGTAAAAAAAATAAATTCTGGAAGATGAGTAAAAGTTCATTTCATTTTGAAAGGAAAATGAGCAGAGTTAGGGAACATCAGCATCTTTAAATTACAGAACGCTTGGAAGAAAATGATGGAAAAACTGATTCAGACTGTCAGAGGGAATGTATAATGCCTGTTGAAATATTTTTAAGGACAAAAATTAATTGTAGTTTACATTTTGA